CATAACATAAAAGAATCTTTACTTATATGGTCTTCAAAATTTCACATAAGAATGTTGTAAATTGGTATCAATTTTGAGTGATTTTTCAGGACATATCATTAAGTCACGGAGCAGCAAATCTTCGACGTCACAGGCATTATAAAAAGTATGTGATCGATCTCTCATTTTCTCAAAATTTTCCCAAGAGTACCTGTGCAGTTTGATTTACCTTATCTACTCAACATCCAAACACCATTTCTTGTCAAGCTTATAAATCGATTAAACAAGTGAAGAATATTTATTTTTGTTATAAAACCAAAAACTTCAGGTATTTATGAGATATATTGTAATATTAGTGATCAGGTTCTTTACAGTCCGGCTAAAGCTTTCGTCGAAAATCTTCTTCCCGTCCTCACGTATAGCCTATTTACAGAGGTCTAACAGTCTAAAATATCAAATTGCTATTTGTGGACGAATGTCACGAATACCCTAGTTTACTACATGTTTTATTATGCATATTTTGGATTTATGTTGGCGATATCTCGAGCATTATACATAATTTAACAAAAGTGTGGTGCGCCGTCCATTCAGGAGACGTCATTTTCACAGTCGTTTTCACGGGAATCGCATCAGAGAAAAATCACTATATTTCTTTCAATACTTCAAATATCACGTCAGAAATCTAAATGCATAATAATAGAACAATTTAAAGATATAATTGAGAAAATTGTCGAAAAATGTTGCGAATTATAGATAATAAATGAGTTAAATTTTGGATTCCGCATGCTTTTGCTTTAACTTTTTTGTCTTGCTCCGTACCTCTCCATCAGCGATATCAACATTCCTATAATTTTAGTGAAAAATTTCTAAAATACAAAATTATTGGAATCTTTAAGATACATATTTCTGTGAAATTTCATAACTATATGACGTCTTTAAGAGTAAATAATAGCCCAGTCCGCGTAATTTTGAACGGCCCTCGTACTTTATGAACTAAATAATTATAAGATTATCGTCTACTTTATTCGATAATTATGCATTACGATGGTTTGAAACGTTAACGTGGAATAATTTGCAAAAGGGGCGAAGCATTTTCTATTTAATTTACAGCTTTCTCCTTTATATACTGTATCTCTTCTTTTTTCCAGTTAAGTGTTAACAATGTTATTCCAAAACATATAACATTCTATCTTTCCAATATTTTTAAAACCTTAAAAAATCCTAGTCTTTCCTGAATTTAAATGCCGCGTTCAGCTGAATTTTACCTCATATTCCCCATTTTCAAAAGTGAGTTATCTCCCCTCAAAATCGGAACTCTTCTACACTAGCCTAACTTCCGCGGACTACGCAATACGATAATCCAACAAAATAGTGATCAACTTCCCAGATAGCAAGACTATGTTGGGCCAACATTGGCAAAAGGTTGTATGGTTGGCGTTGGGGAAACAACGGTGGGCCAACGTTGGACCAATGTCACCATGCCAACCTTCTCGACCATGACAGAATTCCTATGTTGGCCCAACGTTGGTCCAACGTTAGCAACTTCCATTCACTTTACTTCCCAAGGAAGGAGGGATGTTGATGTTGGCCCAACGTTGGCCCACTGTTTGTAATACACTCTTAAAGAAAGTGTCTTTTAAAGTTGGTAGTAGTATGTTGGCCCAACGTTGGCCCGATGTTTGAAATACACCCTTAAAGAAAGTGTCTTTTAAAGTTGGTAGTAGTATGTTGGCCCAACATTGGCCCGATATTTGTAATACACCCTTAAAGAAAGTGTCTTTTAAAGTTGGTAGTAGTATGTTGGCCAAACGTTGGCCCGATGTTTGTAATACACCCTTAAAGAAAGTTTCTTTTAAAGTTGGTAGTAGTATGTTGGCCCAACGTTGGCCCAATGTTTGTAATACACCCTTAAAGAAAGTGTCTTTTAAAGTTGGTAGTAGTATGTTGGCCCAACGTTGGCCCGATGTTTGTTATACACCCATAAAGAATGCGTCTTATCAAGTTGATAGTAGTATGTTGGCCTAACGTTGGCCAAATGCTTGTAATACATCCTTAATAACGTGTCTTATCAAATTGGTAGTAGTATGTTGGCCCAACGTTGGCCCAATGTTTGTCATTCACCCTTAAAGAAAGTGTCTTATCAAATGGGTAGTAGTATATTGGCCCAATGTTTGTAATACACCCTCAAAAAATGTCTTATCAATTTGGTAGTACATTGTAGTATGTTGGCCCGATGTTAGCACGAGTGTTCTTTTAATTAGGTGTTTCAAAGATGGGATATTTATATTGGACCAACGCTGGCCCAATTATTATACTGCCAACTAAAGATGGTGTCAATTTTAGCTGCTGAGATGACATTCTATGTCCATGCTTTTAATTGGATAACTGTTTTTGTTTAGATCTGATGTATTCAACATTTTAAATTTTAACTTAAGTGATCACAGCACCAAAGAGTTTTATTATATTTTTTGAATTGTGCACATGCATGATTATTTATTTGAAATAAAACCCTTAAAATTATGTATTTTTTCATGAGCGTTGTATTCATGAGAATTTAGAGAAGACTGAATACGTTCTCAGGAACAGGATGTGAATGAAGCCTACATATACATAAATCAAAATGACACAGCTTTATAATTAAATTGAAACAAAAGTTAGGCGTTCGCTATCACGTGACCAAACTGTGGAGTGAGCTGTCAGATTCAATTGCTCACAGGTGGTGATAATGCAGGGCAAGCAATAAGAAGTGAAATTTAAATTTGTGGATTAAACACTTGCTATACAGCTGCATTTAGAAGCGATGTAAGTATATTTATTATTATTTATTCAGGTTAACTGTTAAAATTGATTCGGAATTCATTCTTGTCATGTTTTTGCACACAAGCACTGTAAGTAAAGGTTAAATAACATCTTTTAAGTTGTTTCTATCTATCTAATTCTTAACTGTCTATTACAGACACGATTGTAACAAAGAAATTAAGTCAGAGACTGCAAGGAAAACAAATGTTGTGGCGGTACATGTAACAATGAAATCGAAGACCATGCATAAAGAAGTGTATAAAGTATGAGTCCGTATGACAAAGATCAAGATGAAGAAAACGGGAGGGGACGAAGGGACGGAAAAAAGAGCGGGAATACAACAAAAGGACTATAATAAAGGAAGTGAGCCCTGATTAAGAACTTTTAATTGATAATTTTTCATAATTTACCTCTATTGTCTATTTCAAAATTTATTTTGTAAATTATGATTGAATTGATGTATATAAAATAATATCACAGTGAATCATTAGTAATGTTTTCATTGAACATGTCCATGTATGCATTATGAATGCAGATTGAATTGTGTATTAATTATTTTAAACAGTCATAAAATAGGTTTATGTAAAGAATCACTTAACCAATTGCAAATGTTTCTATGTAATATAACTACGTTGGCCCAACAATTTGCCATCTGACATTGTAAAAAAAATGGGTCAACATTGGGCCAACCTAACCAGCCAGTTGTTAAGGTTGGCTGTTAGTTGGCATACATTAAAAACTACATTGGCCCAACAATATGCCATCTGACATTTCAACAAAGGGCCAACGTTGGGCCAACTTAACCAAACAGTTGTTAAGGTTGGCTGTTAGTTGGCATACACTAATAACTACGTTGGCCCAACAATATGCCATCTGACATTTCAACAAAGGGCCAACGTTGGGCCAACCTAACCAACCAGTTATTAAGGTTGGCTGTTAGTTGTCATACAATTATACCTACGTTGGCCCAACAATATGCCAACATGTTGGACCAACGTTGGGCCGATGAGCAAAATTACCGTGGGCCAACGTAAGGTTACCAACAGTGGGCCAACGTTGGGAAAAAAATTGGGCCAACGTTGGCCCAACTATGTCTTGCTATCTGGGTTACACGCTGTATTTAAAAATTTTAAAAGAAGGAAACGGTTTTCACTTTTTTTTAGATAATAAATTATTTTATAAAGGGTCTATTAGCCCGCCCCCCTTTCTAGAAAGCTATACGAATTAGCCAGGTACGTAGCATCATCTTTAAAAGGGGGGGGGTAGCCAAAAAATATTTTTTTCGTACCTGGAAAAGTTGACAAGCAAAGAAAAACCTTGCCCAAAGCTACTTATTTCAGTACCAGTTCCTTGGCATACAATACTACATTTCCCTTATATAACTTTACCGTAGTATAAACTGTGTGTGTGTGTGGGGGGGGGGGGGGGCAACCTGTCTATCAATGAACATTTTCAATAGAAAAAGTAATATTGGGAAAAAAGTGGGAGTGGGGCGCGGGGATAATTAAAAATTATTAGAATTATTAATTGTGAAATCAATAAAATTACGATACATATATTTTTTCACAAATGTACATGTATTTCAGTTACACGGGGTTACATGAGTCTCTCTCTCTCTCTCTCTGTCTCTCTCTCTCTCTCTCTCTCTCTGTGTCTCTCTCTCTCTCTCTCTCTCTCTCTCTCTCTCTCTCTCTCTCTCTCTCTCTCTCTCTCTCTCTCTCTCTCTCTCTGATATTGTTTTTTACACACTTTGCAAAAGAGAATAACTTATAAAAATAAATACATGTACTTACATTGAAAGGATTTAAAAAAAATAAATAACACTTGAGAAAAGAATGTTTTCCGTTAATTAACGAGAAATACGCTAGAAAATAATTGTATCAATTTCGTGTTTCTGCTATCAATTCTCTGATCTAAAACAAAATGTGTATTTTACTCGGGAATATACTTGTACATATGCTTAGATCCTACACTAAAACTTTGATTAAATGCAGCTCAGACTTTATACGACAAATGTAACATGAATTCAGGTCAATGCAATTTTAATTAGTCTCTCTTCGTTACATGAGGACATGAGATTAAATTATTCATTTAGAATTCCATTCAAAGTTTTAATACTATATAGTGAATCAATTATTTTACAAATAAAAAATTCTAGAAACACTGTTAATTCAAATGAAATAGGCCTTTAATTGTCACCAAATGTTTTCTTGTAAGTGTAAGTTCTATGTTATGACATACAATCGAGCAAAAACGCAGTTTCTTGGTATCGGTCGCGGAAGACGAACTACTGCTGTATATGCAGCAATTTCAGAGGTAATCATCAGTCTCCAAAAAATTCCTAGAGATACAAAGAAAATATGGCTGCAGCAGGTTAGATTAATTCGTAAAAACTTTATAACTAAAAATTTGTTCCGCACATTTTGTAAATAATGATTATCCGTCTGCAGAACATCCACTACCGAAAGTTAGCTTATTAGCTTTTTTTAAATAGGCCTATTCCAATATGTATCAGTATTTTATCAGTAATTTGTTTTTTTTTTTTTTTTGTTTTTTTTTTTTTTGTAAGGGGGGGGGGGTCACACAGCACCTTATTATAGTACTACACAGATTAATACAAATCCAGAAAGAGACTATGAGTGGGCAATTTAAAAAAAAATACGAATCAGTTAAGATTTCTTTTTATTCACAAACACAATAACATTTTTCCATATGACAGAGGCATTACACCATGAACATTTTACATCAAGAACGTCCGCGGAAGTGACTTTATTTATAGCGCATGCGTATTAAACACAGTAAAAGAGTTCCCTTCAGGGGAAATAACTCACCTTTTGAAAATGGGGAATACACTTCTTCCTTGTTCTGGGTTATTTTGAATCATTACATGTATGTTGAATCACACTCAAAAATATTTTTAAACTTAAATGTCACAGAAATTACCCGAGCCTTTTAACTACGATAGTTCAGGTTCACTACACAGAGTGTCTTATTTGACCCAGATTAAAATATTTTTACACGACTAAAGAGGAAGACATAATATTTAGTTATGATGAAGACAGAATCAGGTAAGTGGACATTTAATTTGTCTAACATATGTAAAATGTATTTTAAAAACACAAATATAGTGTTAAACAAAAATTTCGAGAACAAAAGATTTCTGCTTTTAAGCTTAATGAAAGTCCAACATTGTATTGAAGTAGTTAAAGGCTAAGGTGTGAAGATAAAATAAATTGTTTGAAGGTTTATAAAGGCCTAATTGTTTTTATTTTTCAAACTTTTACCCATGAACTAAAATTGAAAGAAAATGTAATGTTGATCCTTCAACAAACATGTCAAAATGACGTATTCTTAATGTTTACACTTGATGTCTAATAATACCATTTTGTATTTTTTATACTTGAAATCTGTTCCGTTGTGTTTGTGTGAAATCAGCTTTAAAGTGTTGAAAAAATTACTGTTTTCTGATAAATTGTGATTGAACAACTAATTTTGTCTGGACATATCAAACTATTTTCTCCTGTGCATTAAACCTGTATAAACAGGAATTTAATTAAATACTGTAATTTACTTCCGCCATTGGTTGTATATATAAAATTATTTATATTTAATGAATTTGTTATTATGTACATTAAAAAAAAATACTGCAAATGTATTATTTAAATCATGTTTTAAATAAATAAAAATTACCTTTAAAGTAACATGTACTTATGTACGAGATCAACAAAACAAAAAGACTGAAAATTGAAGCGATTTTGAAAAATAATGTTAATTAGCAGTAGCAGAGAAAAGAAATTATTAGAAGAAAAATGAGTAACCCGTGAAATGCTTAAATCGGATGATAAAACATTAACTGTAATACGTGTAAATATTACTTAAAATAAACATATTAAACTATATTGCAATTTCTTTTCTTTCTTTTTTTTCTAATAATAAAACATCTAAGATATTACCGGTTTACTTAACTTGTTAATACATGTAGTTTTTTTAACATAACTTTGAATAATTTTACAAGATAATCTACACCAGCTGAAAGGAGTTTGAAAAAGATATTTACACGTACCAATGAAATTAAAAATGTTATTTATACGAGTAAAAAGTAAAAGATAAAATTTGATGTTCCATAAAATATTTTATATGCAATCCTTTTATATTATTTATGTCAATTCAATAATTATTTATACGATAGGGGATATAAACACTGTTACAATTTAACATATCTAAATTGAAATTATGTATCATTTGACATCATCCTAGTTAAAATTAATATACATAATTGTAAGTAATTGTTTATTCTACATCCTTTTGTTTCAATCCTTGTCGTTTATCTTGGCAATAAATGACATATTTACATATTTTTTTTTATTTTCCTTAAGTGCTTCAGGTATCAAGAACAAGCTTCAAGAAAGGCTTTTTAACCTAAATAAAATATGTGCTTACGTTAATGAAAAAGTTATGAATATAAATTGTTTTTCTTTTTATTGTAGGATTCATCATTTGCAGCTTAATATGTTTGTGCCATTTACAACTAAGTTTAACCATAAAGGTCATTGGGAACACCAGAGAAAGGTACAAATTGCATACAGAAAATATTGATGCCCCAGTTTTCTGGTATTTATATTAAATCTCTTTTCTAAATCCCTTTGAAAATTCAGAAAAAAAAAACTTCCTCGTCTTATTGTATTTCAACCGCTCTTCTTTCAGACAATGTAAAAAAAAATATTGATATTATCTTCCGCCTCGCTTAAAAAAGAGAATGCTGAAAGCAAAAAACAAAAACAAAAAACATTTAATCGACAAGTATATTAAGTATAAGTTAAACTCTAAATAATGTTTCCTTATGCCAATTTTACACCTTATTGGACACAAATGAAAGTGTTCTTCTTACTTTCTTCACCATTATTTTCAAATGTTATTTTTACAGCTAGAATTGTTATGCATGCTTCTTTTATAAAATATGCTCATATACGTATTGATAGATTATGCTCTGAGGACGTGGTATCGCTTCTTCATTATCTACAAGCAGCGCCATGCAAGGTGACGAACGAAACACATGTTATTCTTGAAGATGCAATTGAAGGTAATATTTTTCCAATACTTTAATCCATAGACCTAATTTCAAGCGCACGCGACAGCTTATGCTTACTTTTATTGTTAATTGTGTTTCTGTTGTTGGTCCTTTTTTTTTTTTTTTACATATTTTGGCTGTGTAGATTTTATTTTCTATTTTTTCATCCTAAATAATTTATAAAAAATTTTCAAGATCAACTTGGCCATAGGCCATCATTATTATAATGTTGAGATTTAAAAAAAAAAAAACAGTTGATCAGATCCTCATCCAAAACTTCCAATGAAATGGAAAATGCCAAAGATGCATATTAATAAAATGAGTCAATTCCCTATATCATTTGCTACTTGTACTATATTATTTAACTAGCTTTGTGTATTACCGTTTATGAAAATTAATGCTTACGTTATCAAAAAATGAACAAATGTCTCTATAAAGGTTATTCTTTAAAGTTCGTTATTTTTTTTTTTTTAAATTTCTACTTGATTGTTGGGTATATGAATATACACATACACACACTGTATGTGCATCCACGTGATATTTCAAAGACATATCTTATAATCCTCGAAAGTACATGAAATTTTAAATTCAAAACCCTTTGACGTAAGAAAAACAAATTACATTTTTTTGATTTTTTTTCTGGAGAAATGACGTAGAATTGATATTTGAATGAAATTTTCATCAGATCCGGTAGGAGATATAGGTTTTAACATTTTGTACTAACATTTACCATATCTTAATGAAAATTTGAAATGTTATTGAAAGATAGTATTCTTATATTATTCTTTGTAATATATATTTCTTATTAATATTACTTCATGGAATGAACAGCGAAAAGTATGTTATTCTCATATTTTGTTATGAAATACTGTATACAGGGTTTTTTTCGCTCTGCTTTATTTTTGCCCTTTTATACTTACAAACAATAATTTTGCCTCATCTTAAATTCGTTCAGTCACCATTCTGTTGTACTGTATTCCTTATACAGGTTCCATTTTTTGCCCCATATTTACCCCATTTTAAAAATTTGAGGGTAGGTCTAAAGGAGGGAAAATAAACTGGGCGAAAATTCGCATGTATAAAGTATGCCTATGGTAATCGAACAAAGTTGTGCGACGACACAGTCCATTATTTCTAAATATTTCAAGATTTTAAAATCTGATCATGACCAACTTCATGTAAAAGAATTGAATAGTATTTTCGTTTGCATTGACATGTAAGGATTATATTGACAAATGTTAAAGAGGATTGGACACAGTTTCAACTCTTTTTTAAAGAACATTTCTAATATTTATAATTCCTAGCTAAGGCATCACCTAATGATCAGTAAAAATTTTAATATCATTTGTTGATTAACAAACGAGATACAGAACTTAAAGGTCTTCATTATATAAACAATGTTAGTGGCATGTTTTGTTTACATATAGAAATTTCATATTTATAACAAAATAAAATTCAGCAAATCACTAGAAACTGTCTAATCATATTTAAAAGTATCTTCTTTCTTGAAACCATCTGCTATGAACAAATATATAATAGTATATTAACCCATATTAACAAAACCATGACCCTATCTACATAACAAAGGATTGGAGCTCTAAATCTGTCTTGAATCTCAACAACTGACATTCAACACTTTGATAATTAATAGAAATAGCTTATAATGAAATATTTTTAAAAATGGAAATCAAATTTGATTTCTTTTTATCCGAAACTGTGTCCATGTTCATTTAAAGGAATAAAGTCGTATTTCAATTATGTTTGTAACAGCCTTTTCATCATACATAACAAACTTTTTAAGGATCACATTGTTATGATATAATATTGTGTATGGAGACAACAAAATACATTTTAAAAATATTTGTTTACATAATTTGAGTTTTATTTCATTTACTGAAAGATCACACAAATCAATTGGTAGAACTTTGATATATTCAACTATTCTCATTTGAATTTTTGTTGTTTCAATTGCAACAAAACTTTGATAATTAATAGAAATAACTTAATGAAATATTTGTAAAAATTTTCCTTTTCATAGGAAATTAAATTTTTCGATTAAATATTTTTTCAACTTTAAAAAATACTGTGTCCATGTTCATTTAAAGGAAACTAAAGATAATTTTAAAAGACATTTATGTATTATATATGTAATGTAACAATTATGTTCGTAACAGCCTTTTCACTTAGGCATGTATGGATATTTTACATTCAAGTTTGTGTTATCTTCACAGCTATGTGTATTATCATTTATAAATGAGTAAAATGATTACTGCTTAGAACAAATGGATATTTCTTGTGGCGTTTTTATATCACATTGATCCATATATTTACTAATAAATACTCTATTTTGAAGACTTAGAAAATTGCCTCATTACCTGTGAAATACAAGTTTCCTTGAACCTTGTCAGAAGTTCCCCAGATACATGTGTGCAGCAAAACCAGTGCCCTGTGACGCTTAGATCTACAATAGAAAGTAGTCTGATTAATGTTTATAAGGAGTTTTGTTGCACAGAATATAAAATTACGGCAATCGTTCGAGGGAGATGCAATTACACACTTTACAGTAAGTAAAACAACGATTAAAGAAATACAACAGTTTCTTTACTAGCACACAGTTTTAAAAAAAAATTGTTTTACAACAAGATCTGCAAATCTGTTCTTTTCTTCTTTTTTTCTTTGACCCCTATCTTAAATAAATTTTAGAAAACGATATATATGTGCATTGTTAATATATCATATGTTAAGATATTATTGTTTACTAATCATCTCCTTTTAGATAATTACTAGGAATTATTTTTCAATACCATGGTGACCACGTAAAATTTTTCACAAAAATATATAGTAGAAATTATTAAAAGAACATTTAACTACAAAAGAGATGAAACATTATTGATGAATTTGAATTATAATCATTGCCCGAACTTGACCGAATTTTAAAAATATATATATAGTACAATACTAAAATAAAAGGTTTTGCATGTTTAGAAAGAAAATGAATTAACCATTGTAATGATTATAAATATTTTAGTGGTTTTAATTTCAAAAACTACAAATCTTGTATTTTCAACCCATCAAACTTCGATGTATGTGCTTTACGCTACACTGTACTGTATATTTGACACTATTCACTGTCAGTATGAAATGTAATTTATTTCCATTGGATTGAACATTATAATAATGTATGGTAACGTAAATTTACTTTGTTGAAAACATTTTCCGCCAATCATAGTTTTAATTTAAAGCCATATATGGCGTAACTGATCAAAAAAAATATATTTTTGAAAAATACAAAATTACGTAAAGAAATATAGTTAATATATTTGAATTAAAACTTTTCATACAGTTCTGAACACGGAGAACACCTCGTTTCAACTAATAATACGATTTTATCTTCTCTGTATTGTGTTATTTAAATCTTTTGTATTTTCTTCCGAGTCGGAGAAAATTCCGAGTATCCAAATTTAATTGTGATATCTTTATAACGCAATTGACTTCAATTTTGTAATTTACGGAAAAGTTCTATCTTTATAGAAAGTAATGATACAAATAATAAGTTCTTATAATTTTAGTCTTATAATTTTCACTGTACATACGTATGCCATATATGGCTTTAACATAATAGTCAAACACGTTATATACACACAAAGTGTTCTTTTTTATTTCTTGATATTAATCTATAGACAATGATAATAATTCATTTAATGGGAGTGCAATGTCTTTCAAATCTATTTTCTATCCACCTAACCCAATTCAATTTCAGAAGCCAAAAAGTCTAAATGTATGATGGTATTTTTAAATATTGCTTCTTGGAACAAGAGAACAAAAAATTAGCATTTCTAATCTTGTCTAGTAAAATTTGTAAATAATCGAGTTATCTGTATTTTAGAAATGGATAATTTACAGCTTGGAGAGAGATGTATATCAGATATGCAGTGTCAATCTTCAAATACAAGGTGCTTAATGAGTCGCTGTACATGTATGCCGGATTATGTAGAATATGATGGAAGATGCATCTCTGGTATGTAACATATCGGTTTATAATATATACGACCTGCATTTTTGAAACAAAATAATTTGAATCTTTCAATATGCAAACGAAAATGAACAAACGTTTTTTTTTCCAATAATCATTATTTATATTGAACAATATTTATAGGCATTCTTTCATGTAAAAAAAAATGGACATGGACGGTCACCATAGATATGTGCAAAGAGCTTTTTTCTTAGAACTTGCCATATTTATTAATCAATTAAATAAAATATATTTTAGATGAAACCTTCGAAAATAATGTGATAGAGAAAAACTTCCGTAAACATGGAGATGAATGCAGGGAAAATTTTCAGTGTTCCTACTATGGAGGAGTTTGTTCAACGACCTGTTCCTGTATTTCTGGTTATTTCTTCTATCAAGAGAGATGTATTGAAGGTTAGTCATGGTATAAAAAGTAACATTTCTAACAACATAATTCGTGTTCGATTTAGGTTGTTAACCTTATGTTACACTAGATAAACATGTCATATTATACTTCGAGCCCTGTAATCTGAATGCATTTGATTCCTTGGTACTTGTAGTAATAAAAAAAACAGCGTTTAACGTGTGTTTGTTAGTAAATATAGTACATTTACATCAATAAGATTTTTTGTTTGTTTGAATGTTTAAAGTATTTTTTCTATTTTTGTCTGAGTCTCAAGAAGATTTTTAATGCAGATTGTTGTCTGCTCAAAAAAGATGATTATATCACCAATATGATTAAACTTATGAGATATCAGAAATAACAGAAAAGTAGCTTAAAGTAAAAGGATACTTGTAAATGTATGCAATGACTCTTTTTTATGCAATATTTTATAAAGAGTCATGACATACTAGCTACATTTTGTCAACGAATTTATCTTTGAATTATATTTTTCTATAATTAATATCAAAACAGGATGTGCTTGCTTCCATATATTCATAATTCTATACAGACAAAGCATCCCTGTCTAGTGTAGTGGTCAAGATTTGTATGAACATACATGTTTAATTCATGATTTGTTTTAGTAAGACAGCTTGGAGATTCCTGTGACATTGATGAGCAATGTCATACAACATCTTATCTAATGACTTGTCTCGTTAATCGTTGTTCGTGTACACCTGGGTTCAAGGAGATAGATAAAATGTGTGTCAAAGGTAGATTTCTATTGTATCTGTAAATTTTATAATTATATCTTTATACAGAGTATTTTGAATTTAATTCAATGTTGGGTTTAGAAAAAGTTACAGTGTTAAATTTGCATGATTCATATTTCTTTCATACCTATCAATTTTTCAACCACTTTGTTAATTCCATGTTTTATTATATACCTTATGTGCATCACTCAATTTTACTGTTGATTTAATGAAATCACATGACGTCGTGATGCCACTTTCCGGATCACCAAATTGTGGTTTTCTGAATCCATGTCTCTGAAACTGATGACATGTTATTTTTTCTTGCGCGTTAAAAAGTCCCTTATTATTATGCTTTGTTTTATGGATAGATGTTGTACAATTGATCTCTAAAGTGTTTTTTGCTATATTTTGCTAGTTATGAGGAGGTATATAATAAATTTATCATTGTAATAGTCATTTGATCCGAAGAACCGTATCACGTTTAGTTGACAGGCGTGGATCATCAGATCAAACTCGACACTTCGCGTCCCGTTACATCTGATCATCAGCGCCTGTCAACTCGACGTGATTCGACCTTTCGGATTAAGTTACTGTTATAATAATATATAAGTATTCATCAGAACATTACGTAAACCTGCAAATGGATGATAGATGTTACAATGAAAACCAGTGTGAGAAAAAAGAACCATGGCTCACATGCATAGACAATAAATGTACATGTTAGATGGGATATATTCGACTACAAAACGTCTGTTTGAAAAGATTGTTTTTTGGTTGATTTTTTGTTTTGTTTTTTTTGTTCTTTGTTAACTCTTTTGTTCTCATTTTTTTCAAGTCACAAAATTAAATATGTTATGAAATTGAAGAAAACGAAAATTTTAGGTTATCAGGTCAAAATATAATAAAAATAATGGCAAGGGACGAAAAATTCTTCATTTTCACGGATATCAATGGTGAAAAAAGAAATCAAAAGCCCGGAGACAGTACGTATAAATGATAAAAAAAAACTCCTTGCAGAATTCTTTTGGATAAGCAAAACGTAGTGTATTTGCACATGAAATCGACCAAAGGTGAAAACCTCACTGGGGAAGGACTGAGTGATGATTTGAATCATAATAAATCAAATCATTCTTAGATAGTCTCCCAAAATATTGGAAAACAAAATAAATTCTAAATTAAAGACCCTATGTTACCCCCTCCTAAATTTTGTTAACTTGAATTACTTTTTTGACTCCAAAAGTGAACAATGCTTTTCGGAAAATACGAAGACTTGCTGAATCTTTAATGTTCTTCTCCAAGTGCTAAATAAATGTTTGTCATGGAAAATCAGTTACAGGTGATAATAGTCATAAATTTTGAATTAATTTATTCATAACAATATCCCTAACTTTTCTGTATATTACTAGCTGATGTAAAGCTTCAAATGCCATGTAGATTATCATTGCAATGTTCGGGAACCGCTTATGCTACAGTCTGTCATGGAGGGAAATGCGTTTGTGACTTTGGTTTTGTCCAGGTGGAACATTATTGTCAAAGTATGTGGCTTAAAGAATTAAACCGGTGTTTAAGTAATTGGACACAAATCTCAACACAAACTATATTTTTTATTGCTTCTTCAAATTAATGTTTCTATGCTGTAATAGTGGTTTTAAAGGGTGTTTTATTTTATGCTTTTAGAAACTGACAGTCTACAAGAAATGAAATCCCTGACCAGTAAGTCAAAATTATGTTGTCTTCAATAATTTATAAATTATGTAATGGATTTGATAAATAAAGGAGGGACATTGTGTTATTTTTATATCCCCACCCAAATAAACCAGTGTAATATATGCAATACTAAGAGTAACGAAAATGCGTCAAAGATTTTAGTGAAATATGTATCTGTATAACAAGTACTTTCCCTAAAATTTCATGTACTTTTAATTTTAAAAACGGCACATGTAAAAAATAAAAAAAAGGAAGATCATGTCTATATTGTAGCATAAATTTCAAATTCTGTTGAATAAATATTTAAAAAAAATACAATTAATGTTAAATATTATATTTTTTATTCAGATAACAATGTAATTGCTCCAGCAGTCGGAGCAGGGTTTTCTGGTTTAGTTATTGGTACTCTGTTAGGTATCCTCATCATGTTTCTAATTCAAAGAAGACGATCAAGTCCAGAAAAAGGGTATGCTTGTTTAGAATTGCTGCATCTTTTTTAAAAAATATATATATCATAGGTATTATACACAGAAAAAGATTTGACTTGAGAATGTTTAAATTATTTTATCAAGGTATTCACTGACATATATTTGAAAATCCATGTGTTGTTTAACTATAATGTTTTTAATCCATAGAATTAAAAAGTCGAGTTCGATAGATGATGTAGAAGTTGATGAAACACGTCTGCAGTCTAGATCCGTTTCTGATCGTGATACATATGATGAATTAGACAATGTCAAGAAAGAAAATTCAATTTTTCAAACCACAAATCAGGTACATTCTTTAACATCCTTTGTTTGCCTTACTGTATAAGACAGAGTATTTGTCTTTTTCTTAATATGTTTTCAAACAAGTAAAAACCCTTTCATGTTTCCATATATTTTAAAACTGTGAATATTACATGTGTTTATGTTGTTTTGATTTTAAGGGAGGTAGAATGTATAGCGCTATTGAACCAAAAACTGAACCAAAAGATGACACAGAAAATACGCCACCAGATGATGTAGGTGTATACAATCATCTGTTTGAAAAAGATGATAAGGATGACAAAGAGAATTATGATAATCCCCGTACTGTGATTGCTGCACAACAAGAACAGAAGCCTGAGACTGATCACATAGGAAACGATTTACGTGTGTCGAATGATGCAACAGTTTCAGGATACAGAGGTCAAGAGGAAAACATTGTGAATAACGATGGAGATAACTATTTTTTGCTTGAAAAGGAATTCAAAAAGGAAGTCTAGCTGCGCATTGATATTGGAAGTTTCAGCTGTCAAAGCCCTTGATTCAATTTTATAATATACTGACACGCAAAAGAAGCGCAACAAGCAGTAATTTACAAATGTTTTAATTTTTTAATCTAATGATTTTTAAAAATGAATACAATAAGGCTAAACTCACCTTTCGAAATATCAAAGATTTGATAAAAAATTTTAATGGTTATCTTTTATCTGTAGAAATCAACATATGACTGATAAAACACCCCCTTCCAGCCATTCAATTAAAACATGCAAGACTGCCCTGCACAACAATTGCAGCTTAATTTCTACGATACATTTGTTCATCAATATCGAGATCTGGCTGAAAGAATTATTCTTTGCCATTTTTAAATGATGGTTTTTGAGATGACTCGGTCGAATTTTCTCTAACCTGGCGCATTGTTACAGTAGTAACCTAGGCCTTCCGGCCCAAGTACTGTCAATAATGCTCATGATACGTTAAAGCATATTGACGCGTAATGTAGTAAACCTTTGCATCAGCAACTCTTCATCACCTTTATTTTAATATTTTCCGGCAAAAACAATGAAAATGCGTACTTAAGTCATTTTCAGGAAGCCTTATAATCACTAGGAGAAAAGAAAGGAGAATTTATTTCTTGAAATATTGAAATATACTGACACGCAAAAGAAACGCAACACCCTATATATATATATATATAAAATTATGAATATCTTCAGTTTGGTAAACATCAGAAAGTTAACGGTTGAACGATTTCCATACCATAACCGGAAGTCAAGTTTTAGTCTGCTTAACAGAAATCAAAAATTTCATGTTTAACAAAACATTTGGCAATGTTATGGAGTTTTAAAGGTTTTTTTACTGTTCATCATAAGTAATGCAGCAATATTTCAAATAATAAACTATACTTTCGTTTCCCAAAACAATGCTAAGGCTACTTGAAAATGGCTTATGTATGCATTTTCATTGCTCTAGCTGGACAAATTCAATGTAAAGGTGATGGAGAGCTGCTGATGCGAAATTTCACTACATTTCGCCTCAGCTGGGTCTTACGTATCATATGCATTACGGACAGTCCTCGTACCGGAAGTCCAAGGGTGACTACACTGCTCTAAATTAGAGAAAATTCGGCCTAATTATCTGAAATATGGGCATTTAAAAATATCAAAGAATAATTCCTTCGCTGACATCTCGATATTAATTAACCTTTTGTATCGTAGAAATTTAGCTGCAATTGTTGTTTAGGACAATTTTTCTTGAATGGCTTTATTATTTTATAAATAAAAAGATAAACATTTAACATTTTTATCAAATCTCTGATTTTAGCAATTTATTCGCTTTTGAAAATCATAAGATAAAAAATCAAACATTTGTAAATTACTGCTTGTTGCGTTTCTTTTGCGTGTCAGTATATATATAAAAGCGCTGGCCCTTATCGTTCAAAAGTAATGGCCATGGTTAAAGTTTGTAAGAAGTAGGTCAAACTCATAGGTCAAGGTCAAAGTTTTTGTTGTCCTATGAAGCGTCTTTTCACAAGGAATACATATGTGAAGTATGAAAGCCTTAGCCCCTACCTTTCAAAAGTTGGCCAATGTTAAAGATTTTCCGTAATTATTGTCAAATGTGTTTGTAAAGGAAAGGTCTTGTCACCAGGAATACATATATGATTTATAAAAGTTCTGGTTTCAACTGTTCAAAGGTTATGGCCAAGGGAAAAATTGGGATTTTTTTTTTTGTTGTAAAATTGGGTCGAACTCCAAGATCAATGTCAAAAGGTCAAATATGGTGTTTCCCAAAGAAAAGACTTGTAACGTTTGAGCTTTAGCAATGATGTTTTATACCACAATTTCCTTTACCCAAAAGATGAGCCAAATTTTTTTTGAGGTCAAAAGTTTTTTATGAGAGAGGGTGTATGTGTGAACCTCTCATTTCCGGTCGATATTGGAAAAATCTCGTGAGTTTTTACATGTTAATGTAACACCATTTACAACCCCACCGTCATTCTGTCTTTACTGTGATTTTGTTTCTAAGTGATATTTCGTAATGTTTCCACATTTTTTTTAGTTTTCTTTTTTTGGAAAATTTTGACATTGTAGAACGTGAATTAAACAAGTAAACGATAATAGTTGATTAATACATATTCTAGCATTTACATGTCATTCTTCGTGATATCACGTTTGCCGATAATTGTGGAAAATATTATCGATTAACGTGCGAATGGCCCTCGGTTGATCCTATAAAACCTACCCCTTTTTTTATCAATTATTAAATGATCATATTTAGCACCTGGTACATGTATGTAGACGGCTTGATGTATTTCGTGTACATTGTGTGATAAATATTTAAAGAAGCTTCATGTATGTATACATATTTCAACAGAATAAACAGTCAAATCTTTATATTTATGTTTTATTTCAATTCTAAACACGCGCGAAACCTGAAAAAAAAAACTATAAGCATTTTCACCTTGAACAATTTAAATGTTTTAAAAATGAAAAACTTTTACCTTGAAAAATTAACGTTTTGTGCGTTAAAAATTAGTTTGTCACTTTTTTCCTCGCAATGTTTGCGTACGTTATTTAACTTTGCAATGTCATTTAACGTCATTTGACGTCATAAACGGCTCTTACATCTATTAACCACGACAGTTTTGAAGGGCACTAAATTCACATTTAAGATGAACGAAATAAGCAATCATAAAGAAGGAAAATAAGAAAATGTAAATATAAGCATTGAATTCATATTTTGGATGTCTTCGGTCCTATAACACCTGGCCGTGCCGACAATTTATCATTCTGTGTTATAGGACCGAAGAAATCAGAAAATATGAATTCAATGCTTAAATATTTAAACTGGCATTTCTATGTCCCCGTACACAAAGTTTCAGGGGTACATAGTTTTTGTCGTGTCCGTACGTTTGCCTGTTTGTCGGCCTTTCTGTCTGTCTAGCTCTCTGTATGTCTGTCTCACTGTTTGTTTGTTTGTCCATAAAAACTTTAACCTTGCCCAGAACTTTTGATTTATAAGAGAAATGACATTCATATTTCGCATATGAATTTCCTGTGACAAACCTTTCTTTTGGTTCCACAGATTTTGACCTTTTGGCATTGACCTTGGAGTTTGAAACACTTTTACACAAAAAATTTAAAGTTTTACTTTGACCATTTCTTTTGAACATTAGATACCAGGGGGTCTTAACATAATTAAAGGTTACGTAAGTCTAAGACCGCGCTTAAGTAGGACTGAAGAAGTCTAAAATTTAAGACCGTAACTAGAATCATACTAAGATTTGGCAATCCTAGCAACACTTAAGCGGCCGGTGTAACGACGAAAAATGACCTCCGTAGAATACTGACGAGGAGGTCATTTTTCTACATAGAATAATGACCCCTGGATAATTTTCTACGACAAGTAGGGCCACTTTCCGACTGTAGAAAAACATTCCAGACCAGTAATTCTACTACTCCACACACGTTGAAAAATGACTTCCATAGAAATTTGACTCCTCACTTTTTTTACACCAAAACCTTATGTATGTGTCTCCTGATATTTTTTTATACTTTCAAATGCAAGTAGTTGAAATTTTTTAATGTACTTTAATCCTTTCCGACATATATGTACTATGTATATATATATATATATATATATATATATATATATATATATATATATATATATATATATATTACTTGCAGAATCCTAATAAATATTTATTCTTTAAGGAACATAAATTTATTATTATATTTTGCCAATGGGTGGTTTTTTTTATTCTTTAAAGGTTTTGCTCCGAAAGTGGCATGATATGTTTCTGATAAATATAAACTTTGAGAATTTCTACCAATCCAAAAACATAGCAAAGAAGCAGAAAAGCAACGTTATTCAACTATATAAATTCAATTACCTTAGCCCTTACCTTTAAACTTACATATACATCTTTGTGGAAGAAGGATATAGAGATAACGAACAATATTCAATATCAAAGTCTATAAAACAATACAAAATAGGAGCAAAGCAAACACGGACCTTCGAAACGTAAGATTCTGCACAAATTTTGCTTCATATGAATACAAAAACAGGTCTACTAATACCCAAGCGCAATTGGTACCCATTGAGATTCCAATAGGTTGTTGGAAGGCCTGGTCTAAAAAAAACATAGATATCGTCAACTTCAGAGTACTCGTATGTGCAATCAGAGTGTGTTTTAACAAAATAATTTTGCAAATGACCAATTACCAGGTAAGTAATTTTACGAGTTCCATTTTTTTTAAAAAGCAGCTGTCAATGAAATTAAAAAGTCCGGATTTTAATTTATCGTGGGGAATGATTGTGTATAAAGTTGAAAAGTCGTAAGTTTTTAAGCTGTTGATTTTCGTAAAATCTTGTGATTTCGTATGTTCAAAAGTTCCTTGGAATTTTTTAGTATCCACATCTGATTCACACCACTTCTTGTATATATTGTTGCATTGTACTCTTGAAGTTTTCCCTTCACTTCTGTCAATATCCTAGTGAGGAGTAACGAAAGAGGCTTTGTTGAACATTTACTGGAACCTGCAATGTATCTTTGGTTGTAAGGATTCTTATAAAGTTTTGGAATCCAATATACATATGTATATATATATATATATATATATATATATATATATATATATATATATATATATATATACATATGTATATAGGGTAGCTCAAATTCATTTTGGCAATTCATTCTGTGGAATATTAAAAATATTCAAAACTGAACATATGATTTTGAAGAATTTCTTCCTTAGAACGGAAAGTATGAGTATATAAGTAGGATTTCCACTTGTAGAATTAAATCCAAATCTTCTGAAATTAAACTGAATGAGCCTTACAAACGAACACAATGTTGTTATCATCTGCTTTGTCGGTAGGGACCAGTATGTGCTGATCATGTAATCTATGTAATTCTTTTTCACTTCTGGATTGTTGATCCCAGAAGTATAGTTGATTTTCATATTGCCCCTCAATCTTTTACTTTGCGACTTTAACATGGATTTAATATATTTAATCCATTCTGACAAAGTGCCAACGGCTTCTTTTTTTTAAATTTGACCCATCGTCTGGCGTAATTTTCAACAGAAACCATAATATTTATGAAATTCTGGCGTCAGTTTAAGGATCGAGGCTATGCATTCTGCTTTAAAATACATACATGTACTATTTTCTACCTTATATAAAGTACTATACTTTTAGGTCACCTGAGTAAACCCAGGTGATATATTGCTATCCGTTTTCGTCAGTCGTCGTCCATCGTGCGTTATCATATGAACAGTTTCAGCTTCTTCGTTGAAACAGCTGAACCAATTTTGTCATATAATATCTACGGGTGAAGGGGAACAAAAATTGTGAATTCCATGGTCATTACCCAATGGGCAACTTCCATGGACCCTGCCCCTTGGGCAAAACCACTAAATTTAGTGCAATCATTGAAAATATTCTTCTTTATTCCTGGACATCAAGCAGTCAAACTGTTGGTATGATTGTAAAGAGCACTGAGTCCTCTACCAAAGTTTTGAAATTCATGGCCCCAGGGTCAGGGGTTCTAGTGCTAGGGCGGGGCTAAATAGATTATGTAGTTAAAATGCATCATTTCCTTGAAATTTTTTTTTTCTGCTCCTGGGAATTAAATAAACTATTAAGGTGCATAGTTAAATTGTG